TGGGTAGCTCAGTCAGTTAAGTATCTGCCTTTGGCTCAGGTCATGACCCCATAGTCCCAGGATCAGACTCCCTGCTCAGTGGGGAGACTGCTTCTCCTTCTCCCTCTCCCTGTTGCTCCCCCTGCTTGTGCTCTCTCTTGAGCACACACTCTCTCTTTCTCTAATAAATAAATGAAAATCTTTTTTAAAAATGTACTACCTTCCAAAACTCAGCATGAAAAAGTTCTTTATCTCCTCCCCCACTGCTCTCTTTCATTGCTGTTTGTAATGGAGGACTGATACTGTTAAATCTACTGTCATCTTATATATATGAAAATAAAAAGAAGTGATTAATTCATTTTCTGTTTAGGAAAAGGGAATTCTGGGCCCATGATGAAAATCTTCTGAATTACTTTAAAAGAATCTTGAGTAATACAGTAACAGATAAAACACGTTTCAAACAGATGAGTTATCTTCTTCTAAAACATACTTAATCCATAAGTCCCCAAAGCAAGTCTTTCCAAAACCATCAAAGACATTTAAAATAAAAAACACAATTGTATCTTTTTGGGAACCATCATAAATCCTGCAACTGTCAGGTCAATGTAGCAATAGAATTATTCTTACCTCTGTAGTATAATTATGTACTATTTGCATCATGTTGAAAACACAGACAAGAAGAACTTACAATTTATAAGTCTGTTTTTAATGTTTTTCCATTATAAGCAAATTTTAAAACATATAAACAATACACAGGTCTACCTTGTGACTTTGTGATTATTAATATTAGCTTTAGCTACCTTAAAGTGGTATTATGTCTCATTTGTCCTAATACAGTGCTTGGCCCATAGAAAAAAACCTGACATTTGTTTTATAAATGAATAACTCTCACAAGGTAGGAGAAGAGGAAGTTGATACATAATTCTGAGAGTACACAATATGCAGCAATGACAGGGTACTAGCCAATATATTAGAATTATCAAAATTACTTCTGACCATTTTCCTCTCCCTTTCTCTAAAATATAAATGAAGCTTAACGAATTCTACTGACAGTGAGTATGGGTTAAAGTACATTTTAAAATTTTATATCTTACCCGAGGGGAGGTGGGTGAGAAAATGAGTGAAGTAGGTGAAGGGGATTAAGAGTACACTTATTTTGATGAGCATGGAGTCATATGCAGAATTGTTGAGTCACTATACTGCACACCTGAAACTAACATAACACTGTTTTTAAAAAAACTACATTGGAATTAAAAGACAAATCTAAACGAAAATGAAATTTATCATCTTTACCAAAGATAAACCTTTCATTGTCAGTAAATCAATTTCAATACATTTAATATAGTTATTAATATGTCTTGACAACTTAAAGAGTTCCTCATGTTTCTATAGTGTTCCTAAACGTGTTTTGCTTTCCTAAACTCCAAAAATTCACTGTGGAGCTCGACAGGAAGTGTCTTAGTCAACAATAAAGATATTTCGTAGATAAGAAAAAGGGATTTTACCTCAAAGAGAAGAATTTCTAAGAATTGAGCAAGACTGCAAGCGCCTAAGTGTACAGGTTTGAGGCAGGAAAGTGGAATTCGGGATTCAAACCCGGGGAATTTCTTATCCGTGAAAGGCTATTATGCACACCTGCACCTAGGATTCTCAAGTCACAGATTCCCCCAGCCAGGGAACTTGCCAGAACCATTACATCCATACTTGATTAGGGCCACCCAAACCTCAATCAGATCTTGTTTCTTTTTTTTTTTTTTTTAAGAACATCTAAATAGTTCGCAACATACTGCTTTACAAAATACATATTAAAAAGATGAAAGTTTCCTTCCAAAGCCTATCCCTCATCCAGATGACTTCAATTCTTTCTTGTCAAAAGAAAGAAGCACCTGGCAACCAGCAGCCCCAGAAATGAACTCTTCCATGAAGAAGACAACGCCAAATCTGCTGCAGCCAAAGAATGTCTAGTGCTCCTTGTGGGCTGTCACTGGAGATGGAAAGCTACACCATGGCAAGGTCTGTACAGAGAAGGAAAGAGGTCTGGAGCACGCGCGCGCGCACACACACACCCAAACACACACACCCAAAAAGGCAAGCTTCTTCGGACCTATAGGCAGAAACCTGGCATCCTCACGCCCACTGGCAACGTGACAATTTACAACCGGGCAACACCTTCTAATTAGCAACGTTCTAGCCTTTTAAAGATGAAAAATTAAACTGCTTCCCACAAGTAAGATAAACCAGACACTGGCGCCTGTTACTGAGAATCCCCAGTGAATCAAACCTCCGTGTCGCTCCTGAACCTGACAAGCCAGTGACCCGGTTTCCCTACGGCGTGGAGGGGTGGAGCCCACCCCGCTCTTGTTGGGAGTGGAACTGGAAACAGAGGACAGGAGCAAGGGACTGAGCGCAGAGGCGTGAACAGCGTCCAAGCAGAGCTGAGCTCAGCACACCCGCAGGAGACAGACAGACAGAGGGGGTCACACGGGGGCCGGGGTGCAGGCTGCAAAGCGGGAGCCCGGGGCTGCGGAAGCGGCCCCCGGAGTCTCTCCCAGCAAAGGCGCGCGCGTCAGTCGCACACACACCGGCCCCACGCCCGTCCGCAGCTCTCCGCGAGTCCCCTCCCAGAAGACACACGCGGGTACCCACCCGGGCACACGCCCCTCGGGCCGGCGGCGCGTACGTACCCAGCAACACGCAGAGCACATCAAGGGCCACGTACGGCAGCCGCGTCTTGTCAAACATGGTCCCGGCGGCCCGGCGCGGGCGGTAGATGAGGCACACGATTCACGACACTGGGCCACGGGGTGGCGACGGCCCCTAGCTGTGCCTCCTCTCGGCAGCAGAAGCGCCTCTGAGGGCAGACGAGGTCCGGCCGGCTCTCTGGCGGCCAACAATGGCGCCCGGGACCCCTGCCCTCGCAGCTCCCACGCCCCGAGACGTTCGCGTGCCAGCCGCGGTTGCTCCGTGGTCTCGGGCCCTCCTCGGTAGGCCCTGGCCTGCCCGGGCGGTTAGCTGTCGCGATCCCGGAGCCCGCTCCAACGGGCGGGGCGTCGGAACTCGTGCTTTAAGGATGGGACCGGTAGGGAGGAGGAACGTGGGCTCGGCCCCTCCCGCGGGGCAGCGCGGGACTGGCCAGCCTGCGGCCTCGCTGGCTGAGGGGAGCACGGCAAACTCTAAACGGCCAGTAATGGGGCGGTGGGGCGGGGCCGGGAACCCCAAGCCCAAGAGCTTTGGCCAATCAGCGCCGCCAGCCCCGCCCCGCCCGACCTGCGGACCCCGCCCCTAAATTGTGATGCACTGCGGTCTGGCTGACGTTGGGGGCGCCCCGGGTGTGAGGCTAGGGGCGTCGCTCTGACCGGCGTTCCTGCGGTGGTCGCAGGAAGATATCTCGGGAGTCCTGGCCGGGGATTATTGCTGCCGGGAAGGAGAGCTAGGCTCCGGGCCCACGATCCGGCCCCCTTCCAGCCATCCTTATCCGTACAGATTGGCTAATAAAGAGGTCTGAGGCAGGCAGTGACATGGCTAATAAAGAGGTCTGAGGCAGGCAGTGACAGAGACTTGTCCGAGCGTATTTAGGCTCCTGTGAGCCTTTTGCTTGCTTAGGCTTCGATGTAGGCCCTCAAGTGTGGTCTGGCTGAACCCAGTATTAGTACGAATCCTGCTAAGTCATCGCGCTCCTTGATGTCTGATGCCTTTGATACGTGATCAAATAACTGATCCTCCACCTTTGGCCTGCCTTTCTGTTTCTTCATAGTAATTTTCCATCCACCGACCCCTCGCTCTGCTTGTTTGTTGGCTATAAATTCCCAGCTGTCTTTACTGTATTCAAAGCGAAGCAAAATTTCTTTCTCCTATTGTAGTAATTTTGACCCCCCCCCCACCAATAGCAATAGTTTTCCTCACCATTTTAACAAGTGTAAATCATTTTTCTTTAACCTGGATGGCTCAGATGGTTAAGCGTCCACCTTCAGCTCAGGTCCTGCAATGGAGTCCCGAGTCGAGTTCCCTGCTCAGCAGGGACTCTGCTTCTCCCTCTCTCCCTGCCTCTCCCCCTGCTTGTGCTTGCTCGCTCTCTCTCTCTCTCTCAAATGAATAAATAAAATCTTTAAAAAAAAATGTAAATTTTGTATTTCACCTTTTGTTGGAATATCTTTTTAAAAGTTTTAAACAATTTATAACAAAAAAATATGCCATTGTTGATATGGCTTTCTTTACTTCCAGAGTACAGTACAAAGCCCCCAGAGTGAAAGGCCACAGTAAATTGAAATTACTTGTGATATCTAAGTATTTGGTATTCATTCAAAACATATTTATTGTTACTGTGTGCTGAGCATAGTCTAGGGACAGTGCTTTATTTAAACAGGTTTTGAAATAAACATTTACTTTTTTAAAACGCCTTTTCAAAAGTAAGCATTCAAAAAACCCTGTTGATTAATTTTATTTTATTCACTCATTCGTTCCTTCAGCATTTGTTGAGTCCCTCGATATACATCAAACTCAGTGCACACTATAGAGACACTAAAATGAACAAGAAAAGATCTCTGCCCTCTAGGAGCCAACCACCCCGTCAGGAAGACTGATGTGTAATTAAATGAACATTGTGATGTTGGCTTACAGCAGGCACACAAAGCAGGAGTAAGTGTTTTGCCTGAGAGCTCTGGAAACACTGCATAGGGAGGTGTACTTTCCCATCCCTCTGCCAACACCAGAAGACATTTTCTTAAGTTAGAAGGAAGTAAAGAAAAAAGTTAATATATTAACAGATTTTTTGCCTTTTGGAGGAGTTACAGTTAATAACGTTTAAAATAGATCAACAAAAGAAAGTCCATTAAGATGTATTAAGCCATATCCTGTTTTTTAAATCCCAGACTGTACTCCCAGGCGGTTGTACCATTTTACCTCACCCACACTAGTAGTAGTGACCACCCCACATTTTTATCAACATTTACTTATTTTTTAAAGATTTTATTTATTTGACACACAGAGAGATCACAAGTAGACAGAGAGGCAGGCAGAGAGAGGGGGGGAAGCAGGCTCCCTGCTGAGCAGACAGCGGGATGCGAGGCTCATCCCAGGACCCTGAGATCATGACCTGAGCCAAAGGCAGAGGCTTAACCCACTGAGCCAGGCGCCCCTCAACATTTATTTTTGAGATGTCTTCATTTTTGCTAATTTTGTGATCATACTATGTAGTCATAATGAGTGGTTATCACAATGTAGTCATAATTTGATTTCCATGATCACTAATGTGACTAGGCATCTTTAAATTTATTCACCACAAATGTTTCTTCTGTCAATGGTCTGTCTTTCGCATATTTTTCTATTGGGTTGGTTTATCTGAGCAGAGAGCCTGATGCAGGGCTCGATCCCAGGACCCTGAGCCAAAAAGCAGAGGCTTTAACCCACTAAGCCACCAGACACCCCAGGGTAGAAGTTCTTTTTTTTTTTTTTATGATTTTTGTTTATTTATTTATTTGACAGAGATCACAAGTAAGCAGAGAGAGAGAAGGAAACAGGCTCCCTTCCGAGCTAAGAGCCCGATACCGGGGCTCAATGCCAGAACTCGATCCCCCAGGACCCCGGGATCATGACCTGAGCCCAAGGCAGAGGCTTTAACCCACTGAGCCACCCAGGTGCCCCAGGGTAGAATTTCTTTATATAGTCTCAATAGTAATCACTTATGGCTTGTGATTTCACTTCCTTTATGAACAGCTAGGTTACAGAGTTCTTACAAATGTTATATACACAGAAATCTACTGGCAGCTTTCTGTGAAAGTTCTTGCTCTCTTGATGAAAGATAAAGACTGGCTTCCCTTCCCTTCTCTTTCCACCTTCTTTGAACATGAACATGATATTTAGAGCTATAGCAACCATCTTGTGATCATGAGGAAAAAGCCAAGAAGAGTAGTCCCCCTAATCTTGTAGAATATAATGTTGAACCACTAAAACGGTCAGCAACTACCTACCTCCAGATTTTTTCATATGTGAGAGAAAAACAATTGCTTAAGCCTCAAGTATTCACGACTGTTACAAGGCTAAAGAGTATGTTGAGTCCTGTTTCTGAGAACTCACATGTCATATTACTTTAAGAAAACCTTTTACTTGAGCTTGCTTAATTGAATCAAACCATAATGCCCTGAATAAAACAATTTGGGCAGACAGGAAAGAGTGCTGAGTGGACTGTGAAGAACGGTTTGAGCAAAGAGGCAAAACCAGTAGCATATTCTGAGGCCTCTGAGTAAGATAGGTGAAAAACCTCACAGTGTGGGTGAGTGGAAGATAAGGTTCTAAAAGTGCGGTTATGATAGTTTATACCTTAAGAGTGTGTCTGGAGGCAAAGAAGAATCACTGAAAATGCATAGTGACCTGCTGAAAAGAGTAATTTAAAACAGGTAATCAAGCTGTGAGAGGAAGTCCTAATCTCTGTAGTGGGTTATAAACTGAAGAAGGGCAAACCTTATTTTGTAAACTGGATTATCTGGTTTCAAATCATTTTCTCTGTGTATTTCCATTTCATTACCCTCCATCCTTCCTAAAATCTTGTTTATGGCTCCCAGTCCTTTTACAGTTTTGCTAAGGGGTATGAGGGTTAAAGTCTTCTGCTAACTCTTGAGCCAGTGCACAAATGGGAAGAACCATAGAAGGAGGTGAACCTCTAGGATTAGCCTTGGGGACCTCATGGGTGGGCAAATGGGCTCCACCGAGATAGTCCCCTCCCATCCACCCTCTCCTTCAGTGTCAAGCTTGCAGAGCTTGAATGTTATGCTGTAGTTGGTTTTCAGGAAGCCAAAATTTTCTTAATAGGCTTACTGTGATGATCAAACACGAAAAAGTGTGAGTGCAGTTGCCTAGCAAACATCTGATCTAAGCAGACACTCAACATATGTATTTTTTCAAAAACAAAGATTTCTGTGACTCCACCTCCATTATTTCTGCTTTCCTAACACCCACTCAACCCCAAATCTACCTTAGTTCCCTAATCCACTGAAGAAATGGTGTTGGTCTGATGTGACTTGTTCTTAGTAAATCCATACCTGGTGCTATTGATCAACACTTCCTTTCTCTACGATGGTCACAAATTATTGCCTTAATAATCTCTTTAAAAATGTGTCACCAAGGGGGGTGCCTAGGTGGCTCAGTGGGTTAAAGCCTCTGCCTTCAGCTCAGGTCATGATCCCAGAGTCCTGGGATCAAGCCCCACATTGGGCTCTCTGCTCCACAGGGAGCCTGCTTATCTTCCTGTCTGTCTGCCTACTTGTGATCTCTCTGTCAAATAAATAAATAAAATTTTTTTTTTAAAAATGTGTCACCAAAATACAGGAGTTAATCACCTATAAGATATCTATAGCATTAGAGACAATGCATATATTGTGCTTTAAAAAAAATCTTGAATAGGATGGCCATCCATTTCCTACTCTTCTTCAGAATCCACCTTCTTCAGCTGTTTTAGCCACATAATAAAACCCGCCCTTCTCTCACAACCCTTGCTTTGTGCTCTTCTTATATTATCCATGTCCCTCTCCTAAACCCCATCCCTGGATGGGTACAACTGCTGAACTCGTTGCCTTAAGCAATGGGAGTAGGCCTCCTTCAGCATTGTATTCCCAGCTCCAGAGTTGTACTCAGCAGTTAAGAAAATTTAAAAAGTTTTAATAAAAAAATGAGAAAAAGGAAAATAAATAGTTGAGAAGAGAGTCAAGCTGTGCTTCCCACACTTTTCTGCTGTTATTTTAGCAAATGGAAGCTTGTCTGGGGTGAAGGTGGGAAGCAGGGTTAATTTTCCTGCTTACAGGTCTATCATACCACTTTATAAGCGCTCTTTTGTGTTCTCTAGTATGTGAAGTGGTTTAAAAAGTGGATCTATTCCTTTCTAAATCACGATGGTACAGAATAATTCTAACTGGAAGTCAAAGAATCAAAGGAAAGCAAAGGAAACTTCTGTCCTTTCCTCCTTTTCTTTCTCATTAAGATCAGAGCCAGGAATGCATTTCTAGGCACTTCTTACCCCTCAGAGCTACCTTCCCTTTCAGAGTGTCTTCCCTAACAGATACCATTTAGTTTGTTCTTTTAAAATACTACCTTTGGAGAGTCTATGGCAATGATACTAGAACTTTTTACTTTGAAATCATCTGGGGTGTTGGTTCAACAGGCTTCCCTGGGCAGGGTCTGGGGAAGGGGTGACAGGCACCATATCCTGCTGTGATGGTGACAAGAAGCCTCTGAAACAGCCCAAGAAGCAGGCCAAGGAGATGGACGAGATAACGCATTCAAGCAGAAACAGAAAGAGAAGCAGAAGCAAGAAGAGCTAAAAACAAAAGCCACAGGGAAGGGGCCCCTGGCCACAGGAGGAATTAACAGATCTGGCAAAAGGGAAGCCAGCGCCAGTGCCTGAGGCAATGGTGATCCTCAGTTCCATTCCTATTTAAACATCTGGATCTCCACTCCCCTTCCCCACCCTGTCCTAGCGTTTGTTGCCACCTGTAACTGGAATGAAGTGTTGTCTTAGATCCTGTTGTAGATTTAAGAATAAACTTTTGTTAAAAAAAAAAAAAAAAAGAAGCAATCATTAAAAAAAAAAAAAAAAAAGCCCAGCTCCATTCTATCTCCAGAGATTCTAAGATAAAGATTTAGCATGGAACCCAAGCATTATTTTCTTATCATGTTTAACAAAAGCCCCAGGAGATTCTGATGGCCATCAGAATTTGAAAACCTCAGATCCAGTCTGTCCACATTTTCACTTTCCAGACAAGGTGGGGTTTTTTGGGCAAGTTTTTTGGTTGTTTTTTTTTTTTAAGATTTTTATTTATTTGACAGAGAGAGACACAGCAAGAGGAGGAACACAAGCAGGGGGAGTGTGAGAGGGAGAAGCAGTCTTCCTGCTGAGCAGCCCCCCTCCCTCCCCGCCTTGGGATCCCAGGACCCTGGGATTATGACCACAGCCGAAGGCAGACGCTAGTTTTAGTAAAGTTTTAATAAAATGAAATCACTTTCCTCAAAGTAATTAAAACACATTAAGATCATTGTAAGCACCACACAGTAATTAAACACCTGGGCTCAGGAATCAGGTTCACCAAATACCTTAGAGCAAATTACCTAAAAGTTTCTGTGCACCAGTTTCCTCACTTGTAAGATAAGAGCAATAATAAAAGTACCTACCTTATAGGTTTATTGTGAGGATTAAATGAGATAATATGTCTAGAACACTTAGCACAACAATGCCAAAGCACACAGAGGTAATAAATGTTGGACATTATTAAATGAAGATTCCTGCCACCTCTTCATCGCAACTAGGTTGATAGTATGTTCTATTAGCCTAAGAATAGTGTTCAGGGTCTCTCCAAACTCTTTGCAATTTTATGTTAAATTTTATGTTTATGTGTTCTGCTGAGAAATAGATCTATAGGTAGCTCTTCCCAGATTCTCCGAGAGGGTCTGTAACTGTCCTGAGCTCTAGAACCTAGCTTCTCAAACAGTGCCCTTAACTGGCAGTGTCTGCCTTCCCTCAGGCTTCTCAGAAAGGTGGATTCAGACCACACCCCAGAAATGCTAAATCAGAATCCGTTTCAGTAAGATCCCAAGTGATTCCCGTGCACATTAACATTTGACAAGCACTGCTCCAGAAATTTCCCAAATTTCCATGATAATGAGAATAACCTGGTATCTTATTAAATGTGCAGATTATCTGGGATCTTCTTTAGAAATTGTGACTCATTAAATCTGGGTTATTCTTTTGCGGGTGGGGTGAGTGTTATTCTTATATTTAGGGAGGAAACACTGGTCTCAAAGATGAAGTCATCTGTAAGTGAAGAATTTGTCAGAGAATCTGTTTTTTGCTGACCTAGCCTTCCTGCCATAGCTTCTTTGTCTTTGCAGGTAAGAGTGAAGGAGAGGGTATTTAGTACTGAGGCTGCTTAAAGCCCAGATGATCTCCAGTTCCTATGCATGTGAAGCATAAAAGTAAATCAATTTTACTTTTGTGATCAATCCCTTTGTTTTCTCTAGTAAGCTTGCTTCTCTATAGCTAGCCACAAAAAATGCCCAATACAATGTGTTGGTATTTTATAGAATGCAATATGTAATACATATAAAGCAATATTGGTAACATTACATCTGAGAATTTACATTCCAGCATAAGAGCTAAAAACATAATCCCGTTGAAATCACCCTGGGTAATCCTTCCCAATCCCATACCCTCAGCCTGCTCATTTTCCACTCCTTCCAACACAGAGTTCGTGACCACCTTCTACATTTTGCCTTTATCATTCTCTTCACTTAAAAGAAAATCATGATGGGGTGCCTGAGTGGCTCAAACCATTAAGAATCCGACTCTTGATTTCAGCTCAGGTTATGGTCTCAGGGTCGTGAGATAGAGCCCCGCCTCAGGCTCTGCACTCAATAGGGAGTCTGCCTGGGATTCTCTCCCTTTCCCTCTGCCCCGCACCCCGCCCCACTGGTGCTTAATCTCTCTCAAATAAATCAATCAATCTTCAAAAGAAAATGATGGCTTTGCCACATATTTGTCCCTAGTCAGTGTTTAAAATGTTTTGAATTTGATAAGAACAGTGTACTATGTACACTAGTAAGGATTTGCTTTTCCACTCAGCATTATTACTAGTGTTTATTCATGTTATTTCCTGTTCCTACAGATCAGTTATTCTCACTGATGGATAAATTTCCATTTGTGTAAATATGCCCTTCTACTTATTCATTCACCTGCCAATTGACATCTGGGTGATTTACTTCAGACTTTTAAAATTCATTTCAAAAAAACACATGTAAGCAGGGGTATCTCTAGAGCACTTAATAGGAGTGGAATAGCTAGGGTATTGGGGTAGGTTGGCAATGAACCCCAAAGATATGTACACATCCTCATCATTCAAACCTGTGGCCATACATCATATAGAAAAAGAGTTTTAGCAAATGTGATTAAGTTAAATATCTGGGGATTTTCTTGATTCAAGATTATCTTGAATTATTCAAGTGAGCCCTAAATGCAATCCCACCCTTCTTATAAAGCGGGAGGCAGAAGGAGATTTGAATCGAGACAGAAGAGAAGAAGGCAACGTGCCTTCTCAACACCTTGATTTCAGTCCAGGGAAACTGACAGTAAACTTCTGGTCTCCAGAACTATGAGGAAATAAATTACTCTCGTTTTAAGTCATCAAGTCTGTGGTCATTTGCTGCAGCAGACATCAGAAACTAATACAAGTATGCATACATACAACTTGAGAAGATAATGCCAAACTATTTTCAACTGATGATATGTCAACGTCATGTATCAAATATTAGTTCCAGTGGTGGTTCCAGAATTCTTGTATAGGAGGATTTAGGAAACTTGTTTTGAAGTTATATTTTCCCAATACTTTTAAAACAATGGGGAAAAACCCATCAAGGATCCCTATCAAAGACCATTGGTGGTGAGAGTGGGTTACTATTCATAGACACACTCTCAAGTTATTACTTTGCAGGCTTACTAATCACAACTGAGTTCTCTGCTTAGTTGTATTATTCTCTTGTTGGAAATCACAGAGAGATAATCTTGTTGGCCTCAGGCTGGGGAGGTGTAACTAGTTCTTAGATGCTGGAGCAGGTTTTTTGGATCACTGGCATGCCATGTGTTTATTGGAATGATTTCCCTGTTTATGAAGCTACTTTTGTTGTTACACCAAGAGTAGGTTTATGTAGAAGCATTGCCCTGGTCTTTAGACCTTGCAGAAACAGCATGTCTTTTCAGAACAGAGCTTCCAAGAACAGCCAAGGGGCTGAACTGCAGATAAGCCCACTGTGCCCTTTACTCTTTGCATGTTTGTTTGATTCAACACAGCTCACAGCTCTTGGTCCTACCAAACTTCAGACACTCTAGGATCACTGTTGCTGCTACTGCTGTCAGTTGCAGCCCATAAGGGATAAAAGAAAGAGATTTTTTTAAAAGACTTTTATTTATTTATTTATTTGTTATTTTTTTGAGAGAGAGGGCGAGCGCGTGCTCAAGCAAGCATGGGCAGGGGATAAGGCAAAGGGAAAGAATCTCAAGCAAACCTCCTGCTGAGCTCAGAGCTCCACTAGGGGCTCGATCTCACAACCCTCAGATCATGACCTGAGCTGAAATCAAGAGTCAGTCACTTAAATGACTGAGCTGCCTAGGCACCGCAGGGATAAAAGCATGAGATTTTAAAAAAAATTTTATTTCCAACAATCAGGAGGACAATATATTAGTTTCTGTTTCTGCTTTCACAAATTACCACAAACTTCAACATGAAGTTACAGTCTGTGGGTCACAAGTCCAACATGTGTCTCACTGGGCTAAAATCAAGGTGTTGGCAATTCTGTGCCCCTTTCTGGAGGATTTAGAGGAGAATCTATTTCTTTCCCTTTTGCAGTTTCTAAAGGCTGCCTACATTCCATGGCTCCGAGTCTCTCTCCTTCCTCTTCAAAGCCAGCAAGAGTACATCCCTGACCATCTTTCCACATGCACATCTCCTTCTAATTGCAATGGGAGAAGTTCCCCAATTTTAATTTTAATTTTTCTTAACATATAATGTATTATTAGCCCCAAGGGTACAGGTCTGTGAATCACCAGGTTAACACACTTCACAGCACTCACCATAGCATACACCCTCCCCAATGTCCATAACCCCATCCCCCCTCCCTAACCCCCGCCCCCTGGCAACCCTCAGTTTGTTTTGTGAGATTAAGAGTCTCTTATTGTTTGTCTCCCTCCCGATCCCATCTTGTTTCATTTATTCCTTTCCTACCCCCCAAAACCTCCACGTTGCCTCTCAACTTCCTCCTATCAGGGAGATCATATGATAATTGTCTTTCTCTGATTGACTTACTTCGCTCAGCATAATACCCTCTAGTTCCATCCACATTGTTGCAAATGGCAAGATTTCATTTCTTTTGATGGCTGCATAGTATTCCATTGTATATATATATACCACCTCTTCTTTATCCATTCATCTGTGAATGGACATCTAGGTTCTTTCCATAGTTTGCCTATTGTGGACATTGCTGCTATAAACATTTGGGTGCACGTGTCCCTTCGGATCACTACATTTGTATCTTTAGGGTAAATACCCAGTAGTGAAATTGCTGGGTCATACGGTAGCTCTATTTTCAACTTTTCAAGGAACCTCCATGCTGTTTTCCAGAGTGGTTGCACCAGCTTGCATTCCCACCAACAATGTAGGAGGGTTTCCCTTCTCCGCATCCTCGCCAGCATCTGTCATTTCCTGACTTGTTAATTTTAGCCATTCTGACTGGTGTGAGGTGGTATCTCATTGTGGTTTTAATTTGTATTTCCCTGGTGCCTAGTGATGTGGAGCACTTTTTCATGTGTCTGTTGGCCATCTGGATGTCTTCTTTGCAGAAATGCCTGTTCACATCCTCTGCCCATTTCTAGATTAGATTATTTGTTCTTTGG